GTAATAGTTTACAGTACAGGTGGTTTGAATAACACCACCTGACCCTAGTTACATGATACATCCTGTTACAAGAGATTACCAAAGAATACAGAAACAATATATTACAAAGAAAATTATTTTACAGCACTTAATAGATTAGTCCTGGTCACATTCCTCTCATTATAGGCAAGTTATGTTGGAATTTGAAACTTAAGCTCTTCAGTGTATTGATACCCCAAATGTGAGAATGTCATAGCTTCCCTGTATCATTAAGACAAATGTGTTTAGTCTGTTTCACAACCAACATATGGGTTTTATTGTTGTCACTTGTACACTGAGTTTTAAACCCTTTTCAAAATATCAGAATAAACTTTTATATATCAGTTAGACTGTTTTAATTATAAAGCAACAACAACAGAAGTGTGGGTCTTACTAGAAGTACAAAGTAAAGATAGTAAGAAGGAAAAATATAAGCTTCTTACGTGGTACTCGTACTAGTAGTACGTACAAATCACACAAGTTTATCCTTGTAAATACTGAATTATATTTTTATTATGAAATAAATATAAAATAAAGCTAAATTATTGATCTTACAACTACTAATTAAAATGTAAAAGAATATAAAAAATCACAAACTCTTTCAGTTTCAGTTCAAAGTGCCAAGTCTAATTCACATAAAGACCATGCACTTACCACTCGATAGATATTAACCCTAACATTCGTGGATCAACTTCTTTCTTAAAAATATATCTATTTTGAGTATATATATTTTCAATATAATGATTAATATAAACAGATATATGATACAGCATGACTTAAGCTGCTATAGAAAAATAATAAAAGTCACATAAATCTCATGCAGTAATTTCCAGAAGCAAATTTTCTGAGGCTTATAAAAAGTACTATTGACCAATACTTAATACAACCTCTACATAAAATAGCAGTTAATATAATAAGCACCCTTCACGTTCATATTGTAGAATCCAGAGAACAACGTTTCATCACGTACTTGCTTATCATCCTAAGATTTGTAAAACGTGAAATACAGTGATTGGGATAACATGGAACTGAACTTGACATCTTCGACTATGATTGGCTAAAAGTTTTACAACCGAGGTTTAACACGCCCAGACACTGTTTATAAAGAAAACAGACTAGAAAAAGGTTTAGATACCAATCATAGATGACAGGACCAGTGCTAAAGTGCAAGGAAAAATTTTTTTAAAATGTTGAAAAAAATTTTCTTCTTAGAGGGCACTTATTTATAGTCTCAAACATATTTTTGGATTTTTTTTATTAAATTTCTCTTCAAACAATACAATTTTGTTTCAACAATTGCATGTTATGCTAATATTAAAAAAAATTAAATCTGAAATCCAACAAAAGATAAGTTCTCTATAATTTTTTCAATTCACAAATATGATTTTGCCCTCATGATAAGACAACATGGCCACAGTAGGTAACGGGTTAAGACAGGAAGGTGTGAATAAATAAGTGGCTTCAAAAGAATGAAGGGATGAGAGGAGCTTCTCTGGTAAGTTTGCTAAATATTCTGATATCTAAGCAAATCAAGAAGATGGGGGGGTCTTATTTTATATTCTAGCTTTTCAATATGTAAAGTTTTTAATTGATTAAGCATTGTTGACATTGTATGGTAGAAGCAATAAAATGTAAATTGAACAACAGACATGCCATGCAACACACAAGAGTGAGTGTTGAGCAATTTTCTTTAATATTTCCTTTTGAATTATGAAATTAAATCTTATATAGTATTCAACTTTGATTTATTAACTACATTTTCAAAATAATTCTGTGACAACTCATGTCACATGCATTTGGACCCCACCAGTGCACATAGAATTTGCCTTTTGACTACGACCTACTTACATGTAAGTAGGTATGCAACTCTTGTGAAAGTTCTTTACAAAAATGAAACTAGTGGATGAAATTCTTTAAATTTGAGATGAAAGGTCCTACAAACATACAGTTTTTGAAAAATAAAATATTTAATTTTTATTTTTTTCTAAAGCAATGATTTTCTCGTGCCTTTTTTTCTCTTTTCACATGTACTCCATCCAACATGCAAAGTAATTTTCATTTTAGGATTAAAATATTTTTATGTGAAATCCTTATAATGTCCAGGTAGTTATGAAACGTTTCTCAAGAAAATCTTTATATTTTATGTTATTTTCACAAACAAATAACTGTACAGGTTTGGTCGATTAGACCAATCTCATAACCACCATAAAAAAAAAGGAAATAAATATAAATTATGCTTTTTTTCATCCTAGAATGACTACAAATTATAACACGGAAACATAAATGTTTAGACAAAATATCTTAAATCTCATAACATTATACATTTATAATTATTTATTATATTGACCTTTTAGCCATGCCTGGCTAACAACATAGAAGTTATAATGACACGGCACACGTGCACTCATTACCGTATCCAATAATATAAAACTGACCTTTAGTCTCTACAAAGTGACCTGTCTTGGCTATGTTTTAGTGGACTAGTATTTTGTAAGATTCAGTCACATTTCAATTATTGTACATTATATATGTATATAGATTACTATTTACAAATAATTTCTTATACTTATTTTTTTTATAACATAGAACAGTAAATTAAGAAATAAAGCGATCAATTATCTCTTCTGGTTCCGACCTTTGTACTCTGTTGCTGCTTGTCGTAGCTTGCTAAGTCTTAAGAAATTTTGCACGTAGAGGATGTGAAAATGAAATAATTTTTTTTTAGGTTTTATATATGCATTTGAATAACCAAAAAATCATAAATTACTATACTGATACCATAGAATTCCAATATAATTTATCAAGCTTTGTAGTTAAGCTGTATTTCGGTCTAAAAAAATATGAAATTTCGAGCATACTAAAGACACAATCTACCTCTTTGAAAAATTGGTTTGAAAGAATGAGACGGCATTCTAACACTTTAAAATGGCTGAGTAAGCCACTAGGGGGACATTCTGAGCTCTCAAGTAGTTATTCATATGCATATATATAGGGACTGTTTCCAAAAAATGGAAAGAGGTGAGCAAGGCCACTGCGTTTCATTCAGTACATGAGCAATATCTCAGCAAATAGAAAAGATAGAAGGTTTTTATTTTTTAAATATTTACTTTTAAATTAAGAAATTAAATATATAATACTAAAATTTGAATTATAATCTACAGTTTGATACCAAACTTAATAACATAAATTCATAAAATAGTAGTTCCATAAGAAACACGATGGCATTGCCTTTGACCTGTGACACAGATGAATCAGTAGAAACAGGCCTGGTAAATAGCAAAAAGACCACATCCCTTGAATTTGTTAATAATAATTGCACAGTAAGAAAGCCCCGACATGAGCCTCAAAATCCGCTTTTGTAATAGCCAGATGGGTCTTAAAGCACCAAAGTGTTAGCCCTAAACACTTAAAAAATAAGTCATTTGACTATAGAAAATGGCATAATAAATCTGATATGGCATCCATACAGGAAAAAATCTTCCTACATAATATAAATTACTCTCACATGTAACCAAAAGTTAAAATGTTTTGAAACTAAATTTTAAATACATGAGCCTTAAATTTTTACGTACAGCAGTAGCTAGTTCACTTTCAGTCATGTCTTCCATAAAAACTGGTTTTTCAGTTGGCTCGCCAGGAAGTTCTTCTTTACTTCCCATCAGCAACACAGTTGCACCCTAAAAGTTAATGTAGAAAAAATGATAAAAATAGCTGCAATTTAAAATAACTGAATAATATATGTAGTATTGCACATTAAAATATTTGTTAGACTATAGAACTGTCTAAAATTAAACAATATATAGTTTTTTCTAGCTTACATTAAACTTATGGCATTTAAAATAAAAAAATAAGTAATTATCTACATACTTACATCTTTAAGCTTCAAATTTCCCCAACTTTCATCCTGTAAATAAATATAATTACTTTAACTAATACACAGGAACATTTGATAGCTTAAAAGATATTGACAAATATATATATATATATAGGTAAACGTATAAATTATTCTTTTTTTAGTTATACTATCAAACACAGTTGTTAATTTTTAAGAATTTGTTGGTCGGCTATTGGTTCAAAGTTTACTTTTAATAGAGAGACTGTTTTAATAGTGTTACCATGAACACAAAATAGGGAGAGGGGTTAACTGACACTGTTTTATAACAGTAGTTTTTACTTTTCATTGCTAAGATATTTCTTTTTTTAGTTATACTATCAAACACAGTTGTTAATTTTAAGAATTTGTTGGTCGGCTATTGGTTCAAAGTTTACTTTTAATAGAGAGACTGTTTTAATAGTGTTACCATGAACACAAAATAGGGAGAGGGGTTAACTGACATTGTTTTATAACAGTAGTTTTTACTTTTCATTGCTAAGATATTATATGCTTCAAAATTTTAAAATTTCTGAAAATTAACAGTTGGCAGAAAGTGTTGTTAATGTGTGTGTGTGTATATATATGGACCTGTCTTACCTTTAACGTAACTCCTTTTAACATCACCTTTTGTCTGTCAGGTTGCACACCTGTCAAAGCAAACAACTGGGCCTTGAAAACCATTGGTACTTCATCAGTATTCACTTCAACATCTGGAAAGACTTCTTTTCCCCACTTTACTTTTACTAGTGTCAAACAAAAAAAATTATATATATATATATAAGAAACAATTTCATCAGTATTCACTTCAACATCCGAAAATACTTTTTTCCTTACTTTACTTTTATTATTATCAAACAAAAAAGATTGAGAAAATACACTTAATATGTAAGAAATACTGTTTATTTTTTTTAACAACTAAGTGTGTCCCAATAAAACATTACCAGTATAAGTAGAGTCATTTACATTTCAGATAGTGTGTAAAAAATATTAGACATATATACATACTAGAACAGTGCAGGAATATTATTGATTGTGGTGGACATGCCAAATTTTAAGTGAAGTTAAAGAATTTATCAACAGAAAATCAGAAGTAGTAACTTGTTAAATTATTCTTTATCTATTCTTTCCTTATTTTAGCATCACAGAGCACCTGTTTCAAAAGGATGCATATGTACAATACTTCCTTGGACTCTTCTTTCACACTGACTGAATTCTATGGGTCACCACAAAAGAATTATCTTATGATTCCTTAGATTTTTTTTCTATTAATTTCAATTACTGGGTTCTTCATACAACTTTCCAATGCATCTGAACATTTTAACTGAAAGTATTTTCTGATGTTTCAGCAATTAATTGATATGGATCTTTGTCAAAGTACATAATTGAATAAAATGCTCTTTAGACTTTTTATTAAATGAAGAAGCAATTTGAATAAACATTTCAATTACTTCTTTAGAACTATCTAAAAGTGATGCCATAAAATTTGAATCAATGACCTAAACACATAACCTTAAAATATCTTGATTAACAATACATAGTAATAATTTAACTTCAACTGACAGGTCAGAGCAACAATATTTTCTGTCCAAATTTGCAGTTCAAAATAAAGAGGATACTAAGTTTTAGTAACATAACTTTCAGTGCTAACATGATTAACAAACATAAAGCTTGTAAATTAATACTTCTTTAAATGGCTTTCAATTCAAAACAAATTCTAGTCCTTTCCACTTAAGAAAAAAAAAGTAGCCTCCATGAAAAAGCTTTTCATTTACTTAAACACTTGTCATAAGCTTCTTCTGAAGTTCATTCATAACTGTAGATTTTTGAAAATTTTCAATTAAGCATCACTATCAAGGGTCAACCATCATCCAACTGCATCATTATCTCTTTGTCTATATATAACGCAACAAGCTCCATTGTTATGTCAAATTATCAGTGTTAAAGTAACAACTAATGAATCTCCACCTTAAAAACTGCTACAGGCAATATTTAAATATCATTTGATAGAACAAGTTGTAAACTATTTAAATCAAGGTACAGTGAATAAAGTGGTGTGAGAAGTAATAAGGAAAGTGATTAGATTGTACAAAAGAGTAACAAAATGCTGTGAAAAGTTTAGAAACTTAGGAACAAATCTCAGCTCTGAGAATTTTTAATGTTTCTTTAGATGTTATTTTCATTCCTGAAACAATTTTTGTGTTAAATTATATATGTTTGAAAGTTAAGGCAATTTCTTCTATGATGAGACACCAGATACAGTCTTACTAGTTTTAAAGTGTGATGGCAATAGCAAATTACTCCAGTGACCCAAATCCTTATTTACTGAGTATTATTGTTAAGTTTATCACATTCATACAATACACATAAATAAAAGAGCTTATATATTCTTTGATAGATTGTTTAGGCAGAGAATTCATGATGAAATTTAGCTGAATGGATGGCAACTGCCTGTTGTAGAAACACAAGAATAGAGTACGATATTTCGGAAGTCTTCCGCCTTTCGACACGTTGTTCTCTACACTTGTGTTTCTATAACAGGTAGTTTCTATCCATTCAACTAAATTTCATCAAAAGAGCTTAGAATTTATAAGGGTAAAATGTATTTATAGATTCCTGGATTGTGAAGTCCCTTGAACAGTTGTAATATAAAAAAACAAGCAAAGTACCACCCCACTGACAGTGCTAAGAGCTACTCAACAATAACATATGGTAAATCTACATTTTTATTCTTTATGTCACATTTTGAAATGTGAATGATAGTGTGATTAATTCCTAACAATTTAGTGTAGAATATCCTACTTGTGAAATAAAATTTGACATCAGCATTATTCATGTCCATTCTCCCATCATTTCAAAAGTGAACATTGAGCTTTGCCTGCATGCATAGCTTTTCAAATGGGAGACAGATGAATGCTTGGACAGACACCATGGTTCGCAATATATATAAGATAATAAAATACAAATTGTCTATTTATTGAGTTTTTTGGTGGTTTTCTCTTCCAAGGCCCATGGTTTATAGGTAGAATGCCGTCTTGTCCTTTATTGTCACTGGGAGAGTCCTCCCTTTATAGGTAGTTGGATGAATCCACTGGCAGCTCCAACCTTGACAATCCTCTGGAAGTGGTCTTGACAGGAACTCCAGGCTCCTTGGGCTTCTGTCTCTTTCTTTTTGTTTTTCTTTCAATACTTTGATCATGTCTAGCATATTTTCTATCTCAGTTTGTACCCTTGTAGTCATCTTGAAAGCAAGTTAAAGTTTAGTCAATATCTTATTGTATTTTTACCAAATATAATGATCCACTCTGACACCAGTGTTGTAGCATAGTTCTTTCTTTGGCGGGTTCTTTTATGTTATCCGATGAAAGTAATTCAACATCCAGTCCACATAACAATAATAAATTACTTTATTTCCTTCTTTAATATTTCAACAAATTTGAAAACTTGCATACTTCCATAAATTGCTGTAGGCCTACATTTCAAATGACATTAACTAATGTAAAACTATTCAACTTACTTATTCAAAGAAACTTTAATAGCAAACAAAATGACTAGTTCACTCTGTTTTGAAATCATCCTATACTCTCTGACAACCTAACAATGCTTCATTGAATGTTATATTTATAATCTGCTTTCACATATACTAGAACATTGTAACATTCTTAGAACTTTCTAGTAGGTCTCCTAAGCTTATCTTATTAAATCTTTTTGACTCTCAACATTATCATTAAAATCTGCAGCTCCCTCTATCTAACCTTTGAATCATACAAATTACAACATTACATAAACATAGCTTATAAATTTCCATGAACATGTTTAATTTATGCATTTATCCCTCTAGGTTCAGTGTTATGTTAATCTAATCCAATCATTGATGCATTACTATCACTAGTGTATTTTACATATTACAAAAAGTACAGCTGCAACAGGGTGAACTGACTTTTATTACCCTAGTGACACAACATATGTATTCAAAAATGTATTACAGTGCTCTATTGCTAGTAGTAAAGCTAATGGACTTTTCAAGAGTATTTATACACACATTGATAACAAACCAAAAGAAGTAATTATCTTTCTATATAAATCTCTAGTTAGGCCTCACTTGAAATACTGTGTTCAATTTTAATCTTCTTATCTAAGAAAGGATACTGGTTTATTAGAAAGAATCCAGAAGAGGGCTGTTTCAGGGTTACTGGCATAATTCCAAGAATGGAAGGATTATTGTATATAGACAGGTTAATATCTCTTGAAAAAAGAAGGTTAAGAGGTGATCTTATTGAAGTTTACAAGATCATCCAGGAGACAGATAGCATAATGACATCTGATTTGTTTGTGTTGTATCTTAAGACAAGAGGACTAGGACACAAATTCAAGCTTAGAAAACGCAGGCTAGATTCCCGTGAATGAAGTTTTATTTTTCTAGTAGGATGATTGACTTATGATTGTTTGTTTGTTTTGAATTTCGCAAAAAGCTACACGAGGGCTATCTGCACTAGCCATCCCTAATTTAACAGTGTAAGACTAGAGGGAAGGCAGCTAGTTATCATCACTACCGCAAACTCTTGGACTACTCTTTTACCAACGAATAGTGGAATTGACCGTCACATTATAATGCCCCCACAGCTGAAAGGGTGAGCATGTTTGGTGTGACGGGGATTCGAACCCGCGAGCTGAGCACCCTAACCACCTGGTCATGCCGGGTCTTGACTTATGAAATAGGTTGCCATTGGCAGTAATGGAAGTTGGAATTTTACAAGTTTCAGAGGGGAATTGATCATTTCCTAGGAAATAAAGGATGGGTTTAAATGTTTAACATGTGATTTGCCCTATTTCTACAGCCTGGTTATGAAGAAGATTACAGCATTTTCAAATTTTGCCAAATATTTAGGTTTCTTTAATGAAAAAAAAAGTGAGACTGTAGAACTTTTAATGAAATGTAAATGTGTTTCAATTTATATAATTCATGAGTTCATTTTTATGCACATATTAACTGAAAAAGCTTCATTAATATTGGTGCTACAAGAAAGTGTAACATGCAGACAACAATAAACCACGTGGCCCTTCAAAGCTGTTCTTGCACACCCACCCTTGAGAAAAGGTACTAATATCATACTATAAAAAATGGCATTAATCTGCGTAAATGGGTATAAAGAAGAAATACATGTACTGTTATAATATTTGATATAACAGTACATGTATTTCTTCTTTATACCCATTTACATGTACATGTACTGTTACAATAATGTACAGTAATGTACTGTTATAATATTTGATATAAGAAATTAGAACCTTAAGGAAAGGACCGTACAGTGTTTCCCTGTATTTTTAGTGGGTGCTTTACTACCTACTGAATCAGAATTTAAATACGAGTCTTTAAAATAACCAATACTATACTTTGAATTTTCATCTAATCTATTTTTTCATTTCTAAGGGGTAACAAGAAAGCTGATGGTAAGCTGTGGGAAATATTGTTAGTATGAATCTCTTGAATGGAAAAAAGATCAGGAGATTAAAAATTGATAAAACAACAGGACCAATGTTTTTACCAGAGTTTTAAAGCAGGTCAAAGAGTGAGACATACAAGCCTCTTTCTTTAATTTTTTTTTTGTAGGTCAACAAACAATGAGCAAGTGCCTGAGGAGTGGTTAATAATGCTTGGAGACATCTTGAATGGCTAATGAAGAAAAACTTTAACATAAGTTTAACATAACAAGAAATGTACAATGTTTCCACAAGGTTTTGTCATCAACAGGTACAAGCAGTTTACACTGACACAGATATATATATATATATATGTATGTACATACAAAGTGGGTTCCTCTTCATCGAATAAGGATTGGTTAGTTCTTAATGTTAACCCTATCTTTAAAGGGTGTGATAAGAATTGCCCTGGAAATTATTGATCAGTTAGTCCTACTTCTGTAGTAGGTAAACTCTATAGTCTGATAAAAGGAACTTTGCAAAATCATTGCAAAAACATTAAAAAATTACCATGGATTCACTAAAGGAATACCTTCCTTTATAACATGTAATCTGTTAACTTTTTCAAGGAATGGATGCAGACTTGGTGTGTTTAACTTTTCAAAAAGTGTTATACAACAGATTAGCTAATAAAATTGCATAAATGTGGGTTGGGAAAGACTACAAAATTGGATTGTAGGATGGTTGGATGAGAAAAATTAAAAGTTGTTATTAATGGAGTCGATTTAAACATGACCTTTGTTACTAGTGCTGTGCCTCATGAGTCAATGCTTGGGCCTTTATTTTATATTTACATTAATGATGTTCATAAGTAGTAAATTAGTAAAGTTTGCAGATGAATTTAAACTTGTGGGTATTTTTATCTGTATTTAGGATGTTAAGGTATTACAGAATTGCTGAGATACACTGATTAGTTGGAACAAGTATTGGCAAATGATGTATAATTATAGTAAGTGCAAGGTAATGCAATTAGGTGATCAAAATTGGGATTACGTTTCAAACAGATGGAAACTTACTCAATAGCACAACTGAAGAAATGGATTTTGGCATAATGGTGTATAAGTCACTCAAGCCACCAAGTCTGTTTCTAGTAACGAAGCTATAAGAATTTTAGGACTTATTTATACACATAGATAAATAAAAGTCAAAAGAGGTAATTTTCTTTTTATACAAATCACTATCTAGCCTCATTTGGAATACTGTATAGTTTTGGCCTCCTTAACTAAGAAAGGATACTGACTTATTAGAAAAGGTTCATAGAGGGCTACTAGGATGTTTTCAAGGATGAAAAAAAAAAAAAAAGTCATTTTATAGGAACAGTTTAAGACCTCTTTAATCAATATCCTCTTCAGTAAAAGAATGGTAAAAGATCATCTTATCAAGCTTACAAGATCAACTAAGGGATCATTAGGATATAGACCTTTGATTTCTTCGTGCTAGATCCTGAATAAAAATGTGTGACAGGACAAAGTTTAAGATTAGGAAAAAACAGCCCAGTGTCTATTAAAAACACTTTCAATTTTTTTAACTGTGTGTATGGCTTATGGAATCAGTTACTAATGGCAGTTTGGGAAACTGCCAATTTCAGAAGTACTAAAAAAGAAATCAATAATTTCCTTAAAAATGATTGGTTCATGTAAGTTTCTTCTTCACAAGGGTGGGTGTAGGAACAGCCCTGAATTCAGGGGTAAATGGTCCTTTGTTGTCTCTTCGGTGTGTTAATCTCCTAAACTGGTTAAACCTTGGGAAATATTATTAGGATTGTAGTCAAAAATATTAATAACAGTAAGGGTAGTCAATCATTTCAAAGAACCACATTTGTTTTCTTCTGTGCTGTTTTATTTTATGTTAATTTAACGAAATACGTAAAATATTGTGATTTGTTGGTTAATTCAGTTTCTTCTTGTGCTTCATAGCAGTTCCAAATATCTCTGTATTATTAACCAAAGTATCCAACAGTTGGACAGTGAGACTGGTTTACATCCATATAGAAAAGACAAAACTTTATACTCTTATTGTTAGAATAAATGGAACAATCATGCAGGCCAACAAGTCATGTAACTATAAGCTTTGTAATGCTATTTATAGCTACATATACTACACAATGGTTCATAAAAAGGCTTTTGAATGCAAAAGATTGGGAAAACATTTAGATCTGTACCCCAGTAAACCTAATATTAATAAGCTATCCTATATTAATTGTGTATCTGTTTATCAACAAACTCCTCCAACAGTTTTTGAATTAGCAGGACCAAAGTAGGCATGTAGATATGAGGTGGCCAGCAGGGTGTCCTTATCTATATGACACAATCCCCCTGCCAAAGGGGAGTAAAACATATTTGGAAGGTCACCCAGACATAATGGGAGTGTAAGGGTATGTTTTCAGGGTTGCTGAACCTAAACCTGGCATTGTATTGTGTGTATCTGGCACCTGGGGGTACCATGTTTGAAACTGTGTACATACACTGTCACCCATAGTCATATGTTAGACATAATAAACATTATACACATTTTCAGCTACAATAGGTGTACGTCTTAATGGAGTTTATTTTTGGATATGGACTCCCTCTGAATATAGTATAGGGATAATGGAGGAGCTTAATCAATACATTGAGGTATCTGTGAATCACGAGTGGGCATTTGACTTTGAACCCCACAGCTAAGCATGGTATTTTATGCTAGTTATGAAATTGTGTTAAATATTACTTGTTTTTAAATGCTATATTTCACAGTCCCCTTAACTAGTCTGTTAAAGATTTTATTTGTATCACATATATTATCTATCAAACATGACGTGTTCAATGAGTTACATAATTTATGTGACTCACGGTTCAGTTTTTACAAGCAAAAAAGTACGGAAAATACCATTTTCAAACTTCACACTGCACTCAAGTTCATGTATGACGTAGGCTAAACGTCCAATAGGCAATAAAATTATAAATAACCGGCAAGTTTGGGCGACAAATGTTTATTTTTAATTCTAATAATAATAATGAAATAAAATTATATATTCATTTACAACTTCATTAATTAGTTAGTTTTAATGGTAAACTACAATTCATGGAAATAAATAACACTGAAATAAAATTATATATTCATTTACAACTTCCTTAACAAATTAAACAAGTTAGTTTTAACGGCAAACTACAATTCATGGAAATAAATAACAAATAATATCCAGATGTGATTAAACACCTTTTTTTTTACCTTTATATAATGGCATACTCTTGAAATAACTTACTGACCAAAACACCGAACGTAATAATCAAAATGTACCATTAACAAAAACAGCAAGTTCCAAGTTTAACTATTTGTTAGTTATGGAGAAACAAGTCACACCACACAGAAAATGAGACAACATACATTCTCCAACTTCGTTGACAGCGCCACTACCCACCTTCAAAAGTTAAAAAAATGGTTATTGTCTAAATTATGGCAAATATAATTTAACAACAACAGCCATAATAATAACAATAACAATAAAAAGAGTGATAAACTTTGTCATTTAATAATATTTATTAAATTCAATTTGTAGAAATTATCTTATAAATGCTTGTAATTTATAAAAAAAATCAAATTTAATCTTCATGTTGAGTTTGTGAATAACTTATTTACTAGAACGCATCTACTCAAATGTACATATTCTTCTTTGTTGCGCCCCAGTGGCTCTCAGCGGCAAACCAGGAGGGCTTATTATACTAAAACTTGGTTTCGATACTTGCGGTGGGTAAAGCTTACATAACTCATGTGTAGCTTTGCGCTTAACAACAAACAAACAAACAAAGAGCTGCTTTGCTTTCACTCGTAAGTTCTTAGAATGAATACCCTAAAACATATAATTATTCTAACTTAGTGCAGCTTGGTATTTAGTACTTTCAACTGCACAAATTTTAGATTTTGCATGTTCAGTTTCTGATATTGTAAAATTTGATTTAAGTTTTCTTCTACTCTATTTCTTTGAAACAGATTAGCTTTCAAGACACTTTTCCTGCCTGTTACCCTGGTTTAATTCGAAGCAAAAAAGTTAATCAAGTCTTTGCTAAAGAGTAAGACTGAATTTGTATGACATGCAAAATAGATTCTTGGGAAAATGAAATTTCTCTGTCGATAAAACAATGTTAAATTTCATGCCATATCAACAACCTTCAAAGAAAAAGAATTATCCTCCCTAATTTTGACCTGATAGACCGAATGGAAGGTAATTACTGAGTAGCACTAGTCGCTAACCCTTAAGGTACTCTAATAGAATAGTGGGATTGGACTATTACCCTTTTAACATATTCACGATCTCAAAGCGTGGAGTGCAGTTTGTGTTTTTTGCAGAAACAGCATTAACCCCCGGATTTATAGTTAGACAGAAAAAGCACTAAGACACGCCCGGCTCTCTAAGCCAAAGAATCAACAATAAATCAGTACAAGAAAAAATTGTAGTTTGTTTGCTTGAAAGTTACAGTTCAGAAAGTTACATCAATCATTTATAAAAAGAACAGAACTGATAAAAAAAATAGCATTTATTTCAAAAAAGTATAGTTTCCTATACAAATTAAGTAATTTGTACAGATAAAGAACTGGCTTGAAAATAATGTTTTCGGTGTTATATGCAAAAATCTTATCGACTTCGATATATTGTAGGAGAAACATTATAAAAGCACGAGTGTTAAATACAGGAATGCGAGAAAATATTTATCTATTTATATAAATATAATAGTACTGTCTATTATCTGTTGGTTGTCCACTTTGCCCCCTGTAGATGGATCTTCACCAAATTTGGTATGGAGATTTATTGGGTCCATGGGGAGATACATACAAATTTTCAGTTTTGCGGTTTTATGGCCGTTTTGTGTTTTTTACTACTACCTCACTTCCTGAGGCTGGATCTTCAACAAATTTGGGTTGGAGGTTCATTGGACCCATGAGGGTGATATATACAAATTTGCATTTTGCGTTTTGCGATTTTTATGGGCGTTTTTTACCACTATTTCACCCCATGTTGATGGATCTTCACCAAAGCTGGCATGAAGGTTTGTTGGGTCCACGTGGAGATACATACAATTTTGCGGTTTCACATTTTTGTGTTTTTGCAGTTTTTTATGGGTCATTTTTTGTGTTTTTTACAA